TTGTCGTTCCGCCGCACGATCTCCGATGGGCGCGGCGTTTTCTTAACTCGTGTTAACCTGTCGATTGGAGCACCGGACTTCATGTAGACCCCGTCATCGTAGACATTCATGACTATTTTCGGTTCTGAATTGCCTGTTGTCGCCATCTACTACCTGGAACCATCGTCATTTGCGGGCGCGACGTCGCACGCGACGCCCACCAGCGCGGTCAATTACGATTCTCTTGTCACATACCCCAGGAAGCGTGCGTGGAGGGCGCACGGAACATGAGGAAATTTGACAGTTGCCCTGTACCGGTGACACCCAGTAGAGAACGCCGCTACTGTTGCGTCAAAATTCACCGCCCTTCAGCGCAGTGAAGGGCGCCGTATGCACATAGGTGTGACACATATCCTCATTCCGAGTAGAAATGAGCACGCAGTCTTGCTCGTTTTTCTGTTTTCTCATCCTTTTTCACTGATCTCGCTCTGCGCAGCAGTATGTCACTCCTAAGCTGTTATTGTTTGATAACTGCTGTTTAACGCCGCAGTGCGCGATCCGAAAGTTATCACAAGAATGCTGAGTTGTGGGCAAAAGTCGGACCACGGGCGGGATTCGAACCCGCATCTTCTGCTTACCGGTATCGGGTTGCCCACAATCCAGCGTTTTTGTGGTAACTTCACTGTTAAACAGTTCTTGTGATAAGTACCTCACTTCTTCTACTCGTCCAGACCTAAAGCCTTTTTGAGGGTCTTCGACGGTTTTGTTTATTCTCTTTGAAGTGAGTCAATCAGCACGTAAAACCGATAAATGGACCTAAGAAGTGCAATCACGGAATACGTATCCAAGGGCTCGTTATAGATCGCTTAAATTCCTATCACGGTCGGTGACAAAGCCCGGCGAAATCCTCCCTACAAACCTTGCCATATTAGAAGCTGCTCGCATCTGTTACATATGCAGCTGAAATTCGACAAAACAAAGGTGTCGCTAAAATGGGAAAATGACGTGATTAGCTTAGGAAATGAGTAAATAAACCTTTATTCTGGGATATCTCCGCCTGTGGATACAAAGAGCCGGTTCGCTGAGCTCTGGTGTTTGTTGCTGTTCAGTGGCGACCGGAAGCGGCGGCATACTAGGAAGGCGTCAGAATTGCCTTTTGGGGGGCCCACAGCGCCTTCGTTACTTACTGTGAAGTCGCGAAAGTGGAATGATTTCAGGGAATGTTGACCAGATTTCTTGCACAAGGAAGGGCGCCTGCGAATTGCTCAGAGGCGGGCGCTGGGTTTCATAAGGTCCACCTTTTTGAACTCTATTTTCTTTGGTGAGTAGTACATCATAAAGGGATTGAGCGTGTAGGCGACAGGCACATCATCATCACCAGTGTAGAGGTGCGCCTCTCCAAGCCCCAGCCGTTGATGGCAGAACTTTGAGGAAATCTGGCGGTAGGATGATTTTTGAGAGGAAGACCGGTAACCAAGGGAGGAAGAGATTAAAGGTAGCCTCCCCTCTCAAGTAGTACATGGTCGTCCTTCCTTGTGCAAGTAGTGCAGCCCCCAAGCTGGAGAATATCCCGCTCTGCAACTGTCCAAGCGAACGATTAGTGAGCCACAGCCGCTGAAATTTACAGTTCTAATGCCCGCCCAGTTATACCGCCCACTTGCTAGATGTCCTCAGACGGAGGGCCGCTCAGTTGTTCTTTGTTGGGGCAGCGGGCATTAATCGGGATTGCAAGTCCTTTTTGCTGACCGCGCTCGTGCCCATGAATAATTCTGCTCTCCTTTATTATCATTCATGGAGCAACATACAGTCACTTGCAACCCATCTCGCAAGGTGAAAACGCGTAAAAATCACGAGCGACCCAATTTTCGTGGTGCAAAAGCTCGACGAACTACACTACACTAAAAGATGCACGCTACCGTAACCCTAAATTCGGACGTCGAGTTTTTTGAAAGTTTGCTTTTTTCCTTTCAAGAGTTTTTCTTCCGTGTTTTTATTGTTTTTCGTATTCTTTTCATTGCATTGGATGATATCCACTACTGAGAGATGTGATAAAGGGATTTGTGAGCCAGGGGTTGCACAGAGAAACCGCAGGGCGGTGTGACTGAATGGGGAGATTTCTTGCCTTGTGGTCGTTTTTCGGACTCTTTCTTTTGCTTTTTTCTTTTTTGGGGAAACTTACTCCTACAGCTACTGTTTCCAATAATTGAAAAGCCAACTATCTATGACTACTCTTAATCCGCGTGGAGCTAATCCTGTGAAAGGCAAAGCTCGCGATCATTTGCCATCACAGATAGGGATTTGGGTTTTGCATATCGACGACACGGTTCTGAGTAACTCGCTAGTGAAAAAAAGCAGAAAAAAACATAGTGTCTTTAAGCTGAAACTTTACCAGGTCGGTGTAAACTCGTAGGAGAGAGACAAGACAAAGGATGGGCGCGAGAGCACGTAATCGCGCAACTAATGAAGGCAGTTAAAGGGTGTACCTTGTTTGAAAAACCATCAGTGGGCGCACATAACGCGCAACTAATGAAGGCGAGTTAAGCGTGGGCCTCGTTTGAAAAAACATCAGTGGGCCGAAGGGAGAGGAAAGACGGTCTTAGCCTCACCTAGAACACACTGACTGGTACGCAATTTCGACTGCGATTTTTTGGCACGGCTGTACGGCTTGCGTGACTTGCCGTTACGTAATTGCGTGAGCGATATGCCTAGGAAGTGATTGCGGAGCGTGCTTTCGACGAAAGACTGAAGTGCTGATGTGAATAGCCAGGCAGATGGATTGGTCCAATCAAAGTTACTGGAATTTTGTTGTTCACTTTGTTAGTACTACTGAACCTTTTTTCAAGACACTGTGCCCGCCTTTTAAAGGACCTGAGTCTGGAGATCACCGTCAACGGTTACACTTCCGATATCGTGTTCGGAACCACGGGCCAATTAAGAAAATCTTTCCAAATCGCAAAAAGCATTGATTAGGAAACCCTTCGTAATGGAGATACTTGTCAGTAGCCAAATGGCGGCTTGTTACAATTTCTCAATCACTTTGTACGGATAAAAAAAAGGAAGTGACTTAACATATAGTAACAGCGCTTACTACAACTCGCAAGGCGTATGTACTCCCTAAAAGGCCACGGGTCTTTGTTGTTTGACGGATACTCACCTCGGTTGTTCATCCTAGGAGTTCTCACAGGAAATCCGAAGAACCTCCAGAGCTTTGATGTCGCAAGTATTTCCGAAGATATGCGAATATAGCGTATTTCTCTGCGGACGCTTGGGCGTGTCAGCCGGGATGATTTTGGCGCGGTGCCAAATCCGTTTTCCACCAGTTATTAAAAGCGAGTCATTGCAATAAGGCTGTAGCAAGTTGATTGTATCATATCGTTCGTATTACTCGTTTTCTACCACTTTTTGTCGCATGCGCGCTTCAACAAGAAGGCAGAGAACGGCTTTGACGGGTGCACACTCATACTGCCTGACACGCCCAACCGTCCGCAGCGAACTAGAGTGTACATTCAAGGCAAGTGGCACGAAAAACCGATACGGCCAATATGGTCGATCCGCCTGGCACGAAAGAATGCTGGGCCCTTCAGCAGGCGGTGCGTGGCGCCTTTTCCAACTAAGAGTGTCGTTATAACGCCTAACCAAGGTGCAACATGCCGACCAGACGCCCACAGCAACCGCCCGCCCACAAATGGCCGGACAGTCACATCGACGCTGGTACTCTTATCGCTTCATTTATGAAGTACATTGATATGAAGTGTTGCTACATGGGTATATGAGTTCATGCGTATCTGCCAAAAGCGGATGTTGGCACGATGCCAACAGGAAACTCATCTAAAAATGCTCATTCGTGCAAAATAAAGGCTTTTCCACAGGCTTTTGGCTCTCACTTCGCTTTTTCTTCACTTTGTCACTATGCAGCACCTCTGCCTATTCCTGAGGAAGTACTAAATTATCGTGCCTTATGCCTTTAAGCGTGCCATAGCGACGCGACTTCAAGAAGGTGTGCGATCAAGTTTGTGTGATTACCTTGGAGGCATCAAGTACCATACTACCAAGAATTTATTTGCATAAACGGCTTCTGACAAACAAACGACAATAATTTCAAAAATTGGTAAATAATGCTCAGAACACCTAATCAGCAATGGAAAATTTGAGCTCACAGTAAACCAAAGTCAAAATAATTTTCTATTTCTTCAGGCTTCCAACCAACTGTGAGTCTTCATCAGTTCCTAGACGTGTGACATAGCAATTTATCGGTAAACATCATACTCCGATGGGTACGGTACGCTTATGTGACCTTTCAAAGGAGTTGAAACAAACTGCGCAACAATACGGACAAAAGTGACAAGCTGAAAAAATTTTCGAGCAGGACTGGAGAAATTTTCCAGCAGGGATCAATTTTGTCACAACAATACTTGGTCGAGGCGTAAATGCTGTTGTGAAGGTAGCACGCTTAGCACGCGCACGGTCCGGGTAATAAAGCCCAGACCGAGTCCTGCCCGGGCCAACCAAGTCTTCTACCCTCCGTGGACGGTAGACTGGTGGCACATTTGTATGGGAGGATGAAGGCACTGACTTCCACATCGGCTGCACCCTCGCCCCCCTCCCGCAGCCATTGTGTTTTCCCTGGTAATGCGCGCCAAAAGAGATGTGACATTTGTAACCCGTTAATGATTTCTCGCCAATAGTATTACTGTGAATAAATAGACCCTGCTGAGCAACCAAAAGTTTTGTAAACATTACAAGGTCGCTCAACATCTGCGTCCTGCACCGGCATCGTAGCTTTTGGCAAGCTGCCTTTTAATTGCTCCGATTTAGGAAGTTACTTTGATATCTTCGTGAGTTTCCATGTGCTTAAATGTATAATTAGGTAGACAGACGGTAATGCCGTGTTGTTCGCCAGGGTGTGATGGATGTTTACCACTGACAACCTGTAAACAAGCCACGTTGAGAGTAAATGCACGGAGTGGTTGTTATTGACGGAGTACTTATATCACAAATGCCCTGAGATCGTTAGGCGGAGCATTCCGAACACTGTAAAGGAACTGGTTTTACTGGCGGACATATCACAGTCTGGGACAAGACCTTATCATCTTGTTCTATGTTAGAAGAGACACCGAATTGGTAGAGATGGAAATTGCGCATCACGAAGCGTAGACGCCTTGAGGTAAGTTTTGAAACATGCGGCCAGCGCCTACTCGATCTCAGGGAGATGCTATGCTGAGGGAGTAATAGTAAATGGGCTGACGATCGTATTTTTCGACTGAACAACCACTTACAGTTGTTGGGACGGCATTTATTTGAGTCTTGCCAAACTGCGACCAGCGGAAATGGAAGAGAACAAATATGAACCTGAAATGAGTGGTTCTTATTCTTATATGCCCCTCGCAAATGCTGAGGGGCCTTTGGAGTTTTTCGCTGCCAAACATATCGTTTTTGGTGAAGAGCACGCTCCGAATCATGGAGCCTTATTGCAAGTCAATGTATAATAGCTTTTCAGAGCGATTAGAGTAACCAGTTTACTGTCGCGCGTAAGGAGAGGCCTGGGTTAGCCGTAAGGGAGACAAGGTGCCTCAGCTGGCCGCCATGGCACCAACCTGGACTGAGCTCAGTAGGAGAACTCCGCTTGTTCTGAAAATTTAGCTCACATTTCTAGTACATCGAGGGCTGCTCACTAGCTGTCACTAATAGCTATGTGAAGTACTCAAGGTTTACCTTTCAGTCATAAAATCTAAATATTCGAGGAAGAATCTTGCATGTTGCATTTTCTGCATCAACAGTATGGTATCCGTTTCCTTGTATTCGTCGGCAGATCGCAAACTTACAATCCTAACCTCAAGACCGACAACCATACACCAACTCCGCCAATTCCTAGCCCCTTGCTTCTTATGCATGTGTGGGCAGGGGACGGGTCCACAGCTGCAACCCTTTCTCCGGGTCGAAAGTGCAAGGGAACGGGGCTAGAGGGCAATGATACCCGGTTGCAGTCTCCGTACCCCATCGCGCTGCCACACGACTAGCCACACGCCTAACCATAGCCTTATGCTCTACTTGTCTGCGCCTTCTCACTTCGGCTTCTTCTCTACGGCTTAGTACATGTTTCGCTACGAGACCCTGGCATCGAGAACCCCAAGTGCTGTAAGCTTGAGGAGAGGCGCAGCGGATTGGGCGGTGGCGCCGGCACATCACTACCCACTAGTCTGTCCCTGCATTTTGTGTGAGAAAGCATTTTTTACTGCAGAAGTCGGCACGTTTCGCAGCTGTCCGACTCATTCGCTTCGCGGCAATGACCACGATCTACGGAGGTGAATTGTGCTTTTTTCGATCATCATGCATCATCGCTTACCCTAATATCTGAGTGGATTTTCTTGTTGCAGCTGCGGTCATCGTGGAGTGCGCCTTCAATCTGAACACCGCCTCTGATTTTTGGAGCAACCTTATGACCGGGAACTTCAGCCAGTCCAGTAGAACTGGTTAGCAACTTTGGTTTGAGAGCTAAGCTACTTGCGAGATTCTCCTTATAGCCTTGGAACCCCCCTCCTCATCCACCTCTTCTCCCGCCTCCTTCCTTGAGCGTGGCAGAGCGACCAGGTATAACCACTGCTCTAGTCCTTTTACTTCGATAGCCAAAAAAGAAATCCTGAAATTGAGTCACTTACCCATCCATTGCATGACATATTTCCCATGCAAATGTTGTTGTGAAAAACACTGGCCACTGGTCTTCGAAAAAGTTGCAAATGTAGTAGAAATTGAATAACTCGTAGAAGAACGTGACGTTTTGACAGAGAGTCTGCAATGATCAGTTTGCATGGTGAAACATAAATTCGCATAGTGGAAAGTAGAAAAGTAGCGTATTAGTTCGGCCTCATGGTAAATGCGATCGAACTGTTTTTGAAATAAACTCAGAGTACATCTTCATCTACCCGGACGAATGGTGGGAAAGGTCATGCTGAACACCGATTTCCTTTACCGTCATGACGTCTCCTAACTAACCTATACCCACTTCTAATGTTGCCAGGCAAAATAGCTGCTCTCTAGAAGTTACAGTCCTCATCATTGCGGACCGGTGGGGCGTGTCAGCCAGAAGGAGTGCGCACACTGTTGAAGCCGTTCTCAGCCTTTTTTGTTGCAACGCGTATGCGACAAAAAGTGGTAGAAAACGAGTAATACGAAGGATATAATACAGTAATGCACTTGCCCGCTTCAAAAACTGGTGCAGAACGATTTTGCCAAACCGCACCAAAGCAGCCGCACTGCCACGCCCCACCGGTCCGCAATGATGAGGACTGTACTCTGCAGAAATTTGGAAAAAATTCGCCAAGTGAACCATCTATGAAGAGAAAATGCCAAAGGGAACGTTGGAAAACGCATTCGTCAGGCCTCCTCTAGCCTCAAACAACTGTAGAGGTAAAAGACCGGAAAGACCGCGCGCTGGGACGATTC